CGACTTCTTTTAGCTCTTTATTTTGCTTTGGGTAACTTCTGTCCTTTAAGAAACAGGTTCACAGTGTTTTGCAAGCCACCCGGACCCATTCATCATCATCGTTTTAGTGGATGCGTGCAGCAGAAGTCAAATAGCCTCAATTGTGTCTTATATTGAGCTCATCTTTTCTCCTCTGCTATTTCTTTATTCTGCTATAATAAAAGTAGCCCTGTCACTGCTGAGCTATTGCTCATCTGTCTCCCTCTATAAGATGGGCTCTGCATCTGGTCTGGAGTTGGCAAAAAGAAAATGCTTATGTGAGGTAGGACGGTATCAGGCCACCAGATCCCAGAAGTATTTCTTCCATGTTGCTAATGCTGTTGCAGCTGCAGTGGTTGTAGCTGTCCCCTGCCAGTCATACACATAGGACAGCTCATAGTAGCTTAGCCAGTATTAGTAAAGGAGCAGGGAAAGACTCCAGTTTTGGCTTCTCTTCTCAGTAAACCCTACCCTCCGGATGGCACATGTTCTGCACCAACACCTGCATCAGAAGCATGTGCTGGGGTGACTGCATACATCAGCTTCTCTTCTGGGGCTCTGCTCTGTACTTGGAGTATGCTTAAAAGACCTGGGGATTGGATTGTCAGATCTATATCCTTCTGTTCAGCTGACCGTGCTGATGCACACCATCCTAGGCTAAGCCTTTGTCTTCTGTGCTTTGCTTTCTTAACTCTCCATAGAAGTACCAGTGCTGGAAAACACTGTGCTGATGGGAAAAACTGGGATGGGATGCTTGGAGCTGGACTCGCAAAAGCATCTCCCCCTCTTGTCCTCGGACCAACCTCCTGATGAGATCTCTGAAGTCAGATTCATTCTTCATTGCTCCCTTTTCCTGTTTCTCACCTGCAAGTCTCTTCATCTTCTGCTTTCACCATGTCTCAGAGCGGTTGGTTTAGTGGGTTCGTGGTGGTTGTTCTTGGAGGGGTTTGTTTTTTGCCTTGCTTTTTCAATGACCGCTTTTATTTCCCTTCGGTGTGTGAATGGAATGCGTACCGGAGAAAACATCCTTTGATGGCAGGGATTACAAAGAAGAGAACACCAAAAAGCAGGAAAATGAAGGTGCAAGCGCAGATAAACACTGCAAATAATCAGTGCAATGTTTATATCACCTGGAGAGGGTATTTCTCCTTGTGAAAGGACAGGGCTGTGACTAAACACGCTCTGGGTTTAGTTCTGAGATATGCTAAGCAAGCCTGCCTGACCTTACTGAAGTCATGCCATTGCTCCAGCCCTCTTTCCCATCTCTAAAATGGCAACGCAGTGCACCTACTTGTTTGGAACTCATTTAAATGCTCTGATCTTCCAGGGTTGTGTCTCTGTGTGTACAGCACCTGAGAGAGTGTGTAATCAATCTCTTTTGGAAGCGTTAAGCACTAACTACACACACATATATATGTATTTATTTATGAGATTACGCAGTAGCTAAGGGAATGTGTTGCTTTCAAAAGTGGGAATAAGCAGAAGCGTAAGGATGGAGGCTGCTGAGAGGCAGGATATGGCCTAGAAAGGAACGAATGAGTGCCCAACTGTTGGTTTGAGCCAGGAATTTGGGTGAATGTGGGCATATCGCTGCATTTCAAGTTAAAAGGATTGCTGTGATTGTGGCAGCCGCTGTTTCAATGTCTGTAGTGCCAGCGTGGTAGCAGGGCTCCCACATCTCTGGGAAGCAGGCCTGTAAGGCAAGTCATCTCTGCATTCCTGGCTGCAGAACCAAGCAAGGCAGTGCCATTCCTGACTTCATTATAGCCTGTATCCTGCAACCACGTACGTGCCTGCTGCAGCGGGGCGGGGGGGAGTGAGACAACACAGTGTGTGGAGCATCCTCTTCAGATGGGGCTACCAGCATCCACCCATGGCCTTACATCAGGATTGCAGATACCATTTCTGACTCGAGCTCGTCTTCAATTCACACACATTTTCTTTTGCATGAAAAAGAAAGCAAACAAACTGTTCCACAAAATGTTCCTTATTTATCTAAGTCATCCTACTAACTTCTTTGAGCCATCTAAATATCTATATATAATTAGATGGGCTTTTTTATGTAACTGCCACAAGACAGTTACTCCGCTAACCGGTTCCTTCAAAGCTGTTCTTATCTATAAAATTATCTAATTTGGACATCTTCTATTACCAACAGAAAGTGGTTATGAACCTTGAAGGAAAAATCTGCCACACGCAGAATAGATTCATTTCTTTATATTTCAGTCAAATGAGAAATCTTGCCTTGTGCAGTGTCTTTTCTCCCCAGAAATCTCTTAGTACTCCATGCATTTGACTGACTCTTTCTTACAGTGGTAACTGTTATTTACTGTTCTGCTGAAATACGGCCACCTATGAAGATAAATGTAGCAGTTGTTTAAATGATTCACGACTCAACTTCACGTCAGGTTGAGATCAGAGCCCCTCTTAGTGCAACTGAGAGGGAAAAGATAATGTAATTACTCAGATATATCTAATGCCGCGAGGCAAGCGCTGTGGTTACTGATGGTGGCTATTTCCCCCAGATGTTTGGATCTGGAGACGTTACATTATTCCGTGGAACAAACAGTCTGTTGTTAGGGAAAAAGGGGGCAGCCTGATCCATATGCATCACTGCAGGCTTTATTATACTCTGCATGGGCACAGCTAGCAAAGCGGCCGGTGGGAAAAGCGTGGGTTTGGTCTGCAGTGAGCTGGACCTGCAATAGTGCAGCTCTCTGTTTTGAGCTGCTCTTTTGGACAGGTAAGTCCTTTTCTGGGACCGTCTCATTTTCCCTTAGGAAAGGCCTTGCCTGACCTAAGAGAGCATCTTCACAGTGGCTACCAGAGAATGAGCTTTCTGGTGCAGTCCTGAACTCCCTGGAGGGACAGGCGCTGCCTCTCTGGCTTTCTGATGTATCAGTGTCCCTTCCCTGTCCTTCTGTGCCCTGGGGAGTAAGCAGGATCCCAAACCTCCTCTAATCTTTACATGCAGAGTCTTGCAACAACAACAGTTCCTTCCACGAACAGGATTTTCTAGGCCATCCGACTCCCTTCCTTTTGCAGGCAACCGGGTCGGATACCCTCATTCATAAAATGACCAAACTCTATTCGAAATCCAGTTGGATGGCTTCCCTCTCCCCCGTCTCCCCACGTAACACTTTGTGGCAGAAGGCAGTTTCAAACCTCTCCTCTTACGGTTGGAATCCCTTTTATTTCCAAACCGGATTTATCTGCAGACAGTTTCTATCCCGTTTGTTCTTTCCCTGAATTATCTCAAACGCAAAGATGCCAACAGCTTTTAAACGAAACACAACTGCCTCAGAAGCTGGGGAAGGCAAATGAAGCTGGAAATAATGGGAATCCAGCTATCCTTGCTCAGACTTAGCGGTGAGACTTGCAGCAGGACAGCTTGAGCTTTTCAAGAGCAGAAGGAGAGGGGAAAGGGAACCTCTCCAAAGGCAGGAGATGGCAGGGTCATGAGGAGGATGCAGCATCCATCGGGACCATGCTTGCCAGGGATGCACAGAGGGAGCCCTGCCTGGCTCAGGTAAGAGGCAGATTCCGTCAGTCTCCCACTGCTGGCGCTCGCACAGGGGCTGCTTTTGGTCCAGAAGCAATCCCAGCCCTGGCAGGTAAACCTGTGTGCTCCTGTCTCTCAGAACCCATTGCTCTGCCCATGCTCATCTGTGAGCATGGAGCCCTGTTCCACGCAGCGCTGCGCTGCAGCCCAGGCAGTTGTGAACCGGGACCTTGAGGGCCACAGTCATGGATCTCCAAGCAAATGCAGCCCAGACGTAGGGAAATGCTCTTCTGTCCTGAGGATAATAAATGCTTGGAATGGCCTGGCGGGCACGGTCACTGGTGCAAAGGCCCAGGGATCATTCGCAGAGCCATTGGCTTGTAGCTGTTGTCCTATGGGAAATGATGTGCGAAAGGGATGAGCTCAAAGCACCCTGTGCCTGTTACCTATGTATCTTATGAGTAATTTGTCTCTGAAGCAGAGGCGTTTCACTTTTTTTCTGCTGTGAGGCGGATTCTTTTCCTCCAGCTTATTTCTTCTCAGCAGGAGGGGAAGATGAATTCCTGTCAAGGAGTAGTTCATTGCTCCTAATGCAAGAGTCCAATTAATTGATGGTTTACAAGCTTTGCTTTGCTCGCTCTTGAAAACAAACAGGAAAACAAAACTGCAGCGTAGCAGAGATGGCTGGAGCATTACAGCCTACAGGGACACCATGGCTTAGGAAGCTGGCCGCCTGCTGCTGCATTTCCCAGCCTTGCACTAGACGACAGGTCCTGTTCGTCCCACTCCTCCCAGTTTCCCAGTGCTGGCTGATGTCTCTTAGCCAGCATTGTGTTACTGTGCAGGGCACAAGGAGGAGATTAACGTTGAACATGAAGATTTTAGGAGCCCTGGGCAAAAGTGTCCTTTCCAAGCAGTGAAGAAGGAGAGGACGCAAAGGGAGAGGTCAGGGCTGTGGCTAAGAGCAGGGAGTGCTAAGCAGCTCAGGATTTGGGATGTGTGGGGAGAGAAGGCACAGCCTTTCCCTCTCGGCAGTGCTCAGCCTTAGGAGAACCGGTCACTTTGGAAGCAACAGTTCCAGTACCCCACTGCTCCCTGCCCTCCTGACCCCCTCCTCAGTCCCCTCCCCTTCCTGCATCCCTCTGCTCCCTCCATCCTGGTTTCTGCCCCGTTTCCTGCCATCCTCACTCTGCCCTCCTTCGATCTCCGTTCTCCAGCCCCTACTTCCTGCCCTCCATCCCACCCTCCATCCCACCTCCTGCCCTCCCAACCCACCTCCATCCCACCTCCTGCCCTCCCATCCCACCTCCATCCCACCTCCTGCCCTCCCATCCCACCTCCCACCTCCCTCCATCCCGCCCCGCTCCACGCTGCCCCGCACGCCCGCGGGGGGGCCCCCGCTCCGCTCACCCCCTTCCCGCGCCGCCGTGCCCCGGCAGCCGCCCCTGCAGTTCCCCCGCTCGCCGCTGGGGGCCCGACGCCGCCGCCGCCGCGGTCGGAACGGGGCCGGAGCAGCCGCTGGCAGAGCCGCGCCGCCCAGCCCAGGTAGGAGCCGCCGCGGGGAGGGAGGACCGGGCACGGGGGGGGGATGAAGGGGCGGCGGGGACCCAGAGCACCGCTCCCCGCTGTGGAGGCGCCGGCCGCGGTCCCCGTCCGTCCCCCCGTTCCCCCCCCCCCCCCCTCGCGGGATGCCCGGGCCCGGGATGCGCCGCTCGCCCGCCGCTGCGGAGCCGGGAGGCGCTGGGAGCCCCGGGCAAGGCTCGGAGCGGGGGGCGAAGCGGAGCCGGACGCGCCCATGCTTGCCGGCGGCAGCAGCCCCGTTCGCCCCGGTTACGGCAGCACTTGGTGAAGGACTTTGTTACCAGCCCTTGTGTGTGTGTGTGTGTGGAGAGGGGGGGGATGTTGGTGGCCGCAGTGTGTTTAGCGTAGGAAGAGTTGCAAAATGTCGTGTTCCCCCTTTCGGGAGAGCTGAAGTTCACGGAGTGCGGGGAATGGGGGGCTCTGTGTGACTGCAACTCCTCTGGGTTACCTAGGAACGGTCCCCGGGATGTCTCCAGCGTGCGGTGGACACCGGGAGCGGGGCTGGCTGGAATGGATGCTCCCCGGGTACTTGCGTGTTGCTGTATTCTCAGCCTGCGTGCGACAGGCATAGGCAGGGGGGGAGATGGTGTTGAAGTGAGATTTTTCTCAGGCTTCGGATTGGAAAGAAAAGGTTCATTGTTCTGGAATGCGTTTCGCTGGAGTTGTGCTCGTGAATAATTTGTCTTGGGATACATGAGGTACTTGTATGCGCAGACGTGCAGGTTTGATGCTGGCGGAGACTCCTTTAATGAGCAAGCAGTGTCGATTCTGGGCAGTGGGGGGAAACTCCATGCAGCAGCCTCTTCCTAGGCCCAACTTTATTCTGTGTTGTTGATGCTTAAACTCCGGCATAGCCTGCAGCTCTGGGAGCTCTGCGTACAGCAGAGATGCTGTGAGCGTTACTCAGCTCTCATCCCCCATCAGGCTTTTTCCTTTCCCAGGTGTGAGACCCCGAGGTTGTGACCCTGGGGAAGTTAATTCAGCCCGCACGGGGGCTGTTTCGTCTCCCACACGTGTGGCCTTTGCAGCGTGGTGCTGCTTCCCGGAGGAGCCGGAGCTGCTCCCCGCTTCCCCGGGGGCCTTCCGCTAGCGGGAGATGCCGAGGGGATGGCTCACTCTGCCACCGCATCCTGGGCACCGTTCCTGCCCGAGCGCTGCTGGGCACTGGCTGTCCCACGCCGCGGCAGCGGGAGGTTCCTCTGCTCGCCCCCAGCAGGACCCAGTCCCTTTGTCTCTGTGAAGCCTTTCCTCCGAGGAGCCGCATCCCGGCTGGATGTGACCGCCGCAGTTAGCCGGGAGCACAGCGTTCCCTGCTTCCCTGGACAGGCAGCCGAGGCTCTACAGCATCGGAGAGCGAGCGAGCGAGCAAGCAAGCATCCCCATGGAGTCGCTGGTGCTCCCGTAGAGCTGCCGGCAGCAGCTCCTGCCACAGGCTCCTGGGCTCTACATAGGACGTGTGTGCTCGCAGGTAGGAGATGATGTTCTAACGGTGCTTTTCTGCCATGGCTTGCTTTAGTCTGCGTTTTGCATAGGGGTAGAAGTGTGCTCTGTGGAAGCAATCTGCAGAGAGGCTCCCACCGTGCCAAGGCATTTAAAAAGTGCCTTGGTGCAAGTCTGCTTTAGTGTTTATGCATATTAGCATGTGTATTTGAAGGGAACCATCTGGGTAGAGAAATATATGGTAAGCGGCTGAACCTTTCCCCGTTGGTTTCCATTTCGGGGATGGGTCTCATTAGCAGAGTCAGAAGTTGGGAAGTTGCTGCGTGGCTCTGTCTGGTTTGCAGGTGCTGCTTTCCCCACACCTGCCGTGAATTAACACCCTAAAGTGAGACACCTGTACCTGGGTTGTGGGCAAGGGGGAGCTGACAGCCTGTGCTGAGCAGGAAGGGGCTTCAGAGTGTGATAGAGCTGATGGGAATGCTCTTTAAATGGCAGTTTGTTTTAACCCCTTAAGGGCTGGCTCCTGCGGAGATGATGTGTGTGCTCTTGGTGATGGGAGCAGCGTGAGCCCCAAATGAAGGGCTGTGGGAAGGCCACTGGGTTTCCCAGAGTGGGAAGAGGCTGATGGAGGCATCAGCATCTCCTTGAGAAGAGTCACCTGTGAAAGGTTGGCTCTGAAAGGGGGTTTAGGGCAGCTGCCAGCGAGTGAGAGACCCACGGAGACGGTGCTGATGCTGTCTGCAAGTTTCTTGCTGGAGATTTCTTTTGCAAGCTGTGCAAGGAGGAGAAGCCAAGCAGTCATGTGGGCTGGCAAAGACCTAACTGCTCGGGTGCCAAGGAGCATGCAGCAATCTGTGGGTGAATGGCAAACGATTCGAGGGAGCTGGTCCTCAGAGAGCTCATCAAAGGCACAGCAAGGAGGTGCTGCCTCCAAACTGGCTATTCTGGAAGCTACGTTTGGTCAGGAAATCCCATCTCCAGCGCAGGGGAGCGTGCTCACGCTGATTCCTTTGCTTGCTGCAAAGCGAGTGAACTTACAGCTCACCCGGGACTTGGGGAAGATCCTCAGGTGCTGACTGATCGCATGAGTTCTGATGGGCAAGCATCCGTCTGCAGTGTAGGATCTCTGCTTTGACCACGCTGGCTTAGGTAATGCTTTCTCTGGGAGCAGCAGCTGGTTTTCCACGTGAGATGAGGCCTTGGTCTCCTTTGCTGGGAGAGGAGCTGTGTGGTTTTGCTGGCTGTGCATGCGGAGCGAGAGCCTGTCCATGCGGGAGGGTGGGCTTCCATGGCAGAAAGGGGGAAAAGCAGGGGAGAGGAGGAGAAGTGATGAAGGAGCAGGTACATGCTTAGACTCAGACATCACTGGGCCGTATGGACAGAGATACAGAGCAGCACCTAAGAAACTTTGATTTCTTTAACAATTGCTTAAGCTCTATTCTGTATTCAGCCTGCACTAAGCATCTGCAGATGTCTTGCCCTTTTTAAAGGCTTGCTGATGAGCCTGGGTTTTGGATATTGATTCTTTCTGACTTTGAGGGGGAAGATCTTCATGCCCAGGACTTGCTAGGGTCAGATTTGATTTATTTTTCATGCTTTAGGTGGCAAAAGGTGAGACAAAAGTTTTGCAAGCCTTCTCAGAACTGTTTTTCTGCCCTGAACGAGAGGCTTCGAAGACAGCATACATAAGGCTGAAGTATCTTTTAATACAGGGAACATCTTGCTGTGTGTGAATAGGAAGGAACACCCTGATAACTCCCCATAGTAACTTTTTGCCTGATGCACGGGACATGGCTTGGAAGGATAATCAGTGCTGTTAATCCAACAGTGCTTTTTGTGGCCTTTGTTCTGTGCCTGTGGAAGGCTTGGTGTGCTGCTGGGGGTGGATGGGGCAGTTTTAACGAAGGTGCAGCAAAACACAGTGAGGACCAGCTCAAACAGGATCATTTCCATGTTGGTCGACAGCGAGTAGCAGATGGGTAGAGCAGAGATCACAAACTTCAACCAGTTCAAAAGCTATCAGGGCAGTAAACCCAGGAATGTTTCCTGTACCTTGAAATGCTCACCTAGTGTCTATAGGAGCTAATGTAAATGAACTGAGCCTGGGCCTCCTTGGGTGCTTTTCAGCCACGTTTCTGCAGGTGCTGTGCAAGAGAGGGGAGAAAGGAGGCTCAGCTGTGATTTATCACCGCTCTCCTGCCACCAGCTTCTCTATGACTAAGCCAAATGAGGTGAGCTCGACACAGGACCTCGGTGTCTGCTCGTTGCTCTGCCTCTGTGGGAGACCTTGCTGGAGCTGGGGAAAGCCTCCCCGTGCTCCTGGATGCAGTGCAGCATCAGCAATGTTGTGTAGGTGGTGTCCGGCACAGCCAGGCAACTGCAGGATGCTGAAATGGGCAGCAGTAGTGAATGGAGGCTCCCTGAACCCCAGCATGTAGGAGAAGCTGTGGCAGAGAGAAGCACTGGCTGAAGGAAAAGTGATTTCCTTGTACCAGCATGTTGAGGAAATCCTTCCCCCCATTTGCAGTAAATTAGCAGTGATTGAACTGTTTAAAGAGCAAATAATGACCAAAGGGAAAAAAACCTGGGTGTTGTAAATGAGTGGGACTGGGGATGGTTCATCTGAGAGCCCTGAAGTAAATAAAGTGTGAAATAGAACCAGCTGTTAACATGGAAGGGATGGTCCCTCCTCTTCCTCCTTGCTGGGAAGTTACCCCAGAGGAACTGAAGCGGTCAAAAGGAGCTGCCAGATACAGCAGGAGTTTTACCATGCAATGCCTTTACAGAAACCAAATCTGAGGGTAGGTGAGTTTTGCTTCTGTTCTATGCTAGGTGGGGGGGTGCTAATTATCACAGATAATGGGTCTGGAATGGATGGGTCTAACCTTGGGGGGTTAAATCACCATAGCTTATATGGGGAAGATGAGTAGGGAAGCCTGCCTTCCTAATGCTACTTGCAGCTTGGCAGGGTAATGAAATAGGCACTGGAAATGTACCTCATTTATTTGGATTTTTCATTAGACTCACCTGAAAGGGACTATTTTTGGAAATAAATAGCTATAGGGTAAGGGGCAGAGTTCAGTGCCAGCTTTCCTAGTTAAGCTGTGGAAAACAGAAGTGTAATGGAGGGGTGCTGATCAGAGCATAGATAGGTGGTTATGTGAAGGCTCCTCACACTGGGGCTAGGCTTATTTATTCTCTTTAATGATTTGGAGGTGGAAGCAGATCAGAGCTGAGTTAGAGGGAGTGAGAACAGAAAGGGTTTGCTTTAGCTGCTGAACATTTGGAAGGATTAAGAGACAAGGCTGATGGATCTGAGCGTGCCGGTGGTTCGGCCACTGTAGTCAGGGTATAACTCAGAGCTGAGCATGACAAGCACATGAAAAGGTAAAACACAAGCACATCTTTTCCTAATGATGTAGCCAAAGGGCTTCTGTGGGATTCCATAGGAGAGCATGCAGGGGTGTGATCCGTGTGCCCCTGATGAGGACTTGTGGTTGTGTGGGCAAAGGGGAGCCATGGGA